CAACAACCTAGCCATTGTGCTAGAATCCCAAGGAAAGTACGATGAATCAGAGGCGATGAATCGGCGTGCACTGGAGGGTTATCAGAGGATTCTTGGACCAGACCACCCGTATACCCTAACAAGTGTTAGAAATCTCGCTAGTATGCTTCAAAGACAAGGAAAGTACGAGGAATCAGAGACGATGAACCGGCATGCATTGGATGGGCGCAAGAGGATCCTTGGACCCAACCATCCCAAAACTCAACTAAGTGCCAGCGGCCTGGCCACGGTGATGCGACTCCATGGAGAGGGTAGCGATTCAGCGACAGTTGCGCGGCGTGCAGGGCGCACTCTGCCAGGAAACCCAATAGATACGCGGCCACAATTTTCTCGCCGTATCGTCGGTTATTTGCGCCGAAGACTGGCCTTCCGCAAGCGTAACAGCTCGGCATAGTGACCCATTACACCGCAGGAGATTTGGCTGTGTTTAAGATCACTGGTGCTCATGGGAATATTTTCGGGAGTCCTGTTGTCCCCAGACTTTAAGTTTTTAGTCTTTACCAATATCTCTTTTGTGATTCGTCTATCTTTATCTTGTGGGTGGTAGTTGACTGGCTTTTCTCGGAGGTTAGTGGTCTTACTCGGGTCTTACTCGGGGGCTCAGATCTCTGCAGGTAGCGGGAAACATGGGAGCTTTGCCTACTCGGGACTTAGTCACTCGGGGTTTAACCGCACTATTGCGAGTTAAACAGGTGTTGAAATATGGTCATATGGTATTAATTGGTGTTCCTTTTCCTTTCATGTACTATTTTGGGGATAGAACGGGCGTATCATTGCTTTTAAGCCGATGAATGAATGTTTTTCTATAAATGCGGGGGAAATTTACCTTAGTTCTGAGTTAGCGTAGCTTTGCATACAAACTTAGAACGACTGATATCGCTGCCTTCATATCATATCACTACCTGTACTGCGATAGTGGCTTGAAAGGTCTTTTGTCAAGGAGTTCAATCCAATTTTATTACCCTAGCATCGCCGACCGGGGCATATAGGCAGAAGGGAGCCTGACCGATAGCGGGGAGGGAGGGAGTCAGGGTGAAACTCTGTCTTAATGAGAAGTGGGAGATATTTTTCTATATAAACCACCATTGTGCCTGGTGGGTGGACAGCCAAAAAGTTACCAGAGCATCATGGTGCAAAAGAAGAAACCCCGCTTTATTTTTATTCCCCTCACAGTTCCCGCCCCACCCCTATCGGCGACCCATGGGGATTGGCTCCAGTAGAGGTGACGGGGGTGGTTCAACCGGCGGGGGAGATTGCAGGAATCTATGTGGGTAACAACCGTAGACCGGGCAAGACTACGGCGAATGACAAACGGGAGAGAGGATATGAGCAGCCAGCTGTTGAATGAAGTGCAGTAAGGAGGAAATTGTTGGCCATTTTTACTTTCCTTCTGGCATTTTAACTTCTATTGTCGTTTTTCTCTTTTGGCGATAGGAAGTAATGTGTTATGCTTTCTCATCCGATAAGCTCCTTGTGGTCACTAGTTGACTATTCGGAATCATGGGAAGTCGCTCGTTTCATTTCGTTCAACCGGGTATCATATGATGAATGCCAAAGTACTATTCGAGTTACACACCTACCCTCCCATGCACTGCCTGCCTCCTAGGCACTGTGCGGACCTACATTCTGAGACCTTAAAGGAAGCTCTAATATCGGTACACTTGTCGCCCCCCCCCAACCCGGGCCTTCTTCGCAAACCCACTCATGCCATATCCTCAGCAGGACCCGACAGTGATGATTTTGAGATCGACTAACCCGAGGCCAGCCTGTCCACCCAGATGCTTTGAACTGCCAGCAGGGCCGCAATACTTCCTATTCTACCCGGCTCTCGTTTTGAACCTTCCGGGCCACATAGTAGACCCAAATAATCGTCCCTAGCGCACGGACTTTATGTAATAAGTCCGGGATAATCACCCTGCGAGGTAGGCGTATCTCCGCAACCCGGAAAATTCGGGCCGCGGGTATATGATGTAGAGAGATCGGTAGAGGGAGGGCAGGCTCAACACAAGTCCAGGAATTGTAAGATTTCTGGAATGGTCAGAGACACATGCAGTAAGTTATCAAGATGAGCGTTCCGTCTCAATGATTGTCCGGTTGGCTAATAATTTATTCGTAAGATACCATTAAGTATCGGGTAGATGGCGAAGGTGAAACTTCGCATGGTGGCCTCATACCAACGCCGGCGGCTCATAACATGGCGACGCAGTCTCGCCTGTTGGGCTCCGCACCAAACATGCGGCTCTGTCGGATAATATTACTAATTTTACCTCTTGTTGGACGGCCTAATAAGCTGTGGTACAGGACACGATTGCACTATTGTGCCCGATAGATATATCCGCCACGTGAAGTAATTATGGTAAGGGTGTTGCGCCCGATAAGAACATAGCGGTAGGTTAGCTGAAACCCCACGAGATTCTCGTTGTGTACGAGTACAGTACTCAAGTACAGTAGTCTACCGCATGGGATGAACATTGGCGATGAAACCTTTTAACCGTCCGATCCAACAAAACGAGAGTGGGCGGGAGAGCCAACCATTTAACATGACCAGTCCCAGGGATTTGCATGATGGGGAAGGTCCGGCGCGCCGATGGGGAACGGGGAGTCGGAGCGGGGGAATGTGGGCAGGTGGGTTAGGGGTGGAGGTGAGCTCGAGCCAATGGGCGGAATGGGGGGGGGGATGTTGGTATGTAGTACTGGGGTTATCCTCATGTGCTAGGGCATGGAGGGTTGTGTGTGTGAGAGTGTTAGCAGTCATGTACTCCCTTTACAGTAGATAGCTGCCTATGGACCTAGGAAATACATCAAGTTCCTTTCCTCTCTCATCGACCCACACCTAGTTTTATAAGGCGATGCATCAAAAATAATGCAAGGGGCTGGGACCTGTTTTTCGATCCCGGGAGTTGTATTAGAGAACCCTTCTGGGGAAAAAATTACCACAAATTACATGGAACTTCCTGGGTATCCGAGCACTAGGGTACCGGCGCTCTCTGAAAACACAAACCCTTAGCTCCAGGACCCCCAACTATCTTGACTTCACTAGGGGTAATTTGCTACGAGTGCGGCCGATAAATATATTCGTCACGTGCCTTATCTAAGGACAAATTGCAGCCAAAAGTTACACCGAAACTTTCTTATCAGACTCACGTGACGAATATATCTATCGGCCGCACTCGTACTCTTTATCTTATCATATCCTACCACTCTCGCACTAAGGCATCAAGGCACCAGCCTTTCAGAATCCCTACTTCCCGAAACCCCGCTTCAACCTCCCTCCCTCCCAACCCCCCGGGTTGGATCGCTGGGGGCCTTCTTCTCAACAATGGCTCGAGTCTCGTGTCGCTGGGGTACTCGTAGTCGGTTGTGGGGGAGCCGCACCAACCGGTTGTAGTTGCTAAAAAAGTCAACCGCTGCGAAGGCTCCCCACCGTAGTGCCTGTGTTTGCTATCCTGCAAGCATTAATCCAACGTAATGGCCCCATCGAATCTGCATCTAGGCTCTGGAAATTCCCGCTCCATACTCGCGATGTGAGGATTTATACCAGCACAGAGAACAATTGGCCCACGCAAGCGCGAGAATTTTGGGGTGATTGAGGGCCATTGGCAGGAACCCGGGAAGCGACAAGAAGTGGCTCGGCAGTTTCCCATGCTGGGCGAGCTTTGTACAGTGCCGTACCCTACTCGGGCAATAATAAAGAGCGAGCAATCATACCCTCCGCTGTTTAGATTTGAGTGGCTCTTCGCTAGGGGGGGGGAGGGGGCGGTAGGAGCTTTCTCGCACCGGTATCGCAGCATACTTTGTGTTGCCGCACCCTACAGTATTTGCTTGAAACTTGTCAGTAGTGTTCCAACCTCGTACGATCTTCGATGCCACCTGTCCCATTTCCACTGGGAATTCCCAGCCTCGTGCCCTGACGTAAGCCGCTGGTCTTTTCCACGCGCCCCACCAAACCGTGATCGGTACCGTACTGTGGCGAGCTATTTTAGCAATAGTGTTTTTGAGTGGTGGTTAGGGCTTTTGAGCGCAAGGATGACGGTAGTAGGTTTGGTAGGATATAGGGCTTTTGAGAGGGGCAAGGGACTGTGTTTCGGTTGATTTGTGGGGGGGTGCTTAGTGTTGTGCACGAGCCGAGCGGACTCGAGCCCTTCAAGCCTGGGGGGCCTCGAGCCAAGTGGACTCGAGCCTAGGTGGTCACTAGGCGCGAGCCGGCTCGAACAGGGGTCCACGAGCCGACTCGAGTCGGGAATTGGACTCGGGGATAGTGGGAAGGTCATTTGGCTAGTTGTATTTGTTTTCAAGTTGCTATATACAATTTTTGGTTGATTTGAGTGATAATGGTAGTGTGTAGGGGTATCATGACCACTTTAGACTCAAGCCTCTTGGCGGCTCGAGCCGGCTCGTGAACAACACTAGGGGTGCTAGGAGATAGGACTGTCAGGGCCCTATTGGGAGAGGACAACCCAGATAAGAGACAACTACAGTGTGGCCCAGTTTTTCGTCTGTCTTGTCTGAGGAACAGGACGTTTTTTTTTCTTTAAGAGGGGATTTTTTTAGTTTCTCTTCTCCAGAGGGAGGCCTTTGTTTTTCTTTTGTCTCCGGCTTTCGGGTTTCTCTTCTACTTTTAGAATTTATTTACTTCATTGGAAACGCCAGAGCAAGAGTGTCCACGCCCTGGCTAGCCTACCCTCGCCTCACTGAACTGTCTAAGGAGCGAGGTCTCCAACAGTACGGTGCACGTGTCTTGTCTTTTCGCAGTTTTCTCGGACTTTCCATGTCTGATCGCTCCATTTCACCATAGAGATAGGGAAACCCCCAAGTTGTCCGAGATGATGCATTTTGCAAGGCCTGTTCCAAGGCGGGCCTGAACAGCTCTCTTGTACCGTACGAGTACTCAAGAATCGTCATCATTTGCGAGGATAAATTATGTATTCTTAGAGGCTCCGGCTGATAAAGCGCCAGCTACGAGTACTGTTGGGTAGGAAAATACTCTGCAGTGATGAGGCCGTTCTTAAATGTGACTGATCGTCTCATATCTCATGCGGCGGAACAAGACATGCCCAAAATGCTAGTCTAACCGTGACCAGAGGACAACCAATCAGTGCTGCATTTCCCAAACCTCGCATTCAGCGCCGTGGTATTACAATACCATACCGTAGTGTTCCACTTTTCTCTATCCTCTTACCGGCGCGGGGTTCCACGGCTTTTGATTTCCAGAGATTGAATTCCAATCTCCGCAACTGCCCCAAGACGTGGTCACTTCGCTCATATACCCATTCACCACCCTTATGCCAAATCTTTAGCCTTCACCAAATTCGAAGAACCCGAGCAGGATTACCTCCCGTACCAGTAGCTGCCTCAAAACCGCAGGGCTATTCGCCTCCACATCTAAGGGTGCGTCCCCGGCTACCCGTCCTACCATATGTCGCGTTACTGACTTGTTTCGGGGTTTGCGAAAGGATTTTGGGCTGCCTCAATCTGCGACATATAGGCTCTGGTACCCGTTTCGGGTACGATAGCGGCATCCTTCTACTTTTCCTACCCGGCCCTCAAAAACTAGTCTAAGAAGTGAGCTGAATACCTGATGGATCGGTGGGCTCCCCTTTCCTTCAATCTCTGCAATTTCAGAAATGATAAGTACTTGCCTAATAACCTTCTCAGACAAACCCTAGGTTCTATTAGGGGAGACCTTAGTGGGAACTCAGGGGATCATAATGTTCTCGGTAGTTTTAATAACAATAATAACGCATACACTGGTTACCTGAACAGTGCTGAAAATCGCGGAACAATATATCAAGGATGTGTATTTGGAGTTGAGGGCAGAGGTATCATCAATTTTCCTGTGAGATTTCCGGCAAGGATCTAAGGTGCTATCACAAGTGGAAGGAGCAACTAGGCCTTATCGGATAATACCCTATCGCAGAAACAGCAGGTTCACTGGCCGCGAAGATCTCATTGAGTCGATAAAGAGGATATCCAGGCACAACAATCACACGCGGATCGCACTTCATGGACTCGGTGGTTCTGGGTATGTAATCAGTACTGCCACTATTATTTCGGGGATTATTAACATTGCTTAGGAAAACTCAGATTGCCCTGGAATATGTCTATAAGTGCGCAAGCGAGATGGATTGCCATGTTTTCTGGGTGTCTGGGAGTGGTCCATTGAAATTCATTGAGGGTTTTAGAGCCATCGCACAGTGTGTTCGAATTCCATTAGCCAGCGCCGAGATGGACCAAGAGGAATTACTAGCTAGTATCAAGAGGTGGTTTGAAGGTGCAGACAGTGGCGATTGGATACTAGTTATCGATAATGCCGACAACGAGGGGGACTTTATTGGCAACACGGGTCCCATATCCAAATTTGTACCACAAGGCCCGAGGGGCACTTTAATATTCACCACGAGACCACACCGGGTTGTATCCTGGCAGGGTTGCGAGACGGTAGATGTTGGGAAAATGGGGGAGGAGGAAGCCACGGCACTATTTTCGAAACGCTATGGTAGATGGAGCAGTTTGGGAGAGGAAGAGAGAGAGGCCGTCGCATTGATCTTGGGCTCCCTGCACCACATCCCACTGGCTATCGTAGGAGCGGCAGCCTTCATGACAGAAACCCAGACACCGCCAACCGCATACTGGGCCATTTTCCAGGGAAGCGACGAACGAGCAAGGAGACGCCTTTTACAGCCGTTTTGCGATATACAAGGAGAGGCGGACATGACCGAAAGTATCCTAGCCACGTACTTTATCACCTTTGACCGAATCACGCGGCAGATGTCCCAAGCAGCGAAAATCCTGCGGTTAATTGCCTTCTTCGATCGTCAGAACATACCGGAGGAGCTATTGAATGAGAGTGGTTTGGAAGGGACGGATGATCCAATCGAGTTTCGTCAGGCCATTGGAAAATTGTTGGGATTTTCGCTAGTTACATCTGTGAAAACTCAGGACAAGACCCTTTACGAGCTTCACGGTTTGGTCCAGCTGTCTTTACAGGCATATCTACCAACAGAGGAGTTGAATCGATGGCGGGCCAATGCGCTCGGAGTTGTTTCAAGGCTCTTTCCCCGGCATTGGGACTCGTGGAGAGACGTTAGTTCCGCATACATTCCACATGCACTCACTGTAACCAAGCATTCAACCGATCCCATTGCCGAAGAGCTGTGTTTTCGCCTGGGAGATTACTTTGTAGATATGGGTTTCTACAAAGACGCAGAGGTTCAGTTGCGCCGATGTATAGCACTCCGGGAAGAGAATAAAGACTATGACTGGGACGAGGAAGGTCCGAGGAGGGTTACGATCCTAGGGTTCGTAAAAATACGTCAGGGAAAGGCAGACGTGGCCGAGAAGATACTGCGGGATTTGTTAGAGGATATTGAGGGGTCATTGGGCCTAAATAATCCCATCGTCCTGAAGGTTCTCAGCTACCTGGCTCTAGCACTACGAGACCGTGGAAAGTACGGTGAATCAGAGGCAATGCACCGGCGACAGCTGGAGGGTTCCGAGAAGACTCTTGGACCAGACCACCCGAGCACCCTAACAAGTCTCGGCAACCTAGCCAGTGTGTTAGAATCGCAAGGAAAGTACGATGAATCAGAGGCGATGAATCGGCAAGCACTGGAGGGGCGC